AGATCCTGTCTGAAAATTTAAAGAGGACTAGGATGGGGGATGTAACTCAGCTCCCCTGGGTTCAGTCCCCAGTACAATAAATAAATATTTTTTAAATGCCACATTCTTCAATTTTATTCTTTAGGTATGTTCATTCTTAGAATTCATCTAATCACAGTGTGAGAAACACTAAGCAATCACATAGGAAGCCTCAAAGTGTCTTCCCACAAATAACCTATTATATATCAAGGTAAAAATAAAAAAAACATACAATTAAGAAACTTGAGGGGTACTGTCTAAAATTCTCAGGTTGACATGACTAATAATTGGGAAAACAGATATCATGCATCTTCTGTTTTGATGCACTAAGAAGGATAAACACCACTGCTGTGGCATTTCTACCAAAAATGCAATGTAATAAGAAAGATCAGACCAACATGAAAAGAAAGACTTTCTACAAAGCAAACAAAAAACAATAACTAAAAATCAACCTAGCCTAGACTCTAAATGGTAAGCTCAAGAAGGAAAAAAAAAAAAAGGTTGAGGAACTATTCCTAAATAGAGAAGACTAAACAAATATCACAGCTAAACATAATACATGATCCTGGAGTGATTCTGAAACTAGCAGAAAAAGAAGATATAAAAAACATGATTGAGATAGTGTGGAAGTTCTAATGTGAACTCTGGATTAGAAAACAGGATTGCAAGACATGCTATTTCTTAATTTTGGTAATTCTATTTTGTTATATAAATGCATGTCTTAGTTCTTAGAAAATATACATCAAAATGTTTCCAACCTACTTTGAAATGGTTCACTTAAAAAAAGGTATAAATTATTAGTGAATCTGGGGAGACAATACATGGAAGAATTTCATACTATGCTTTCAACTGATGTTTAAAATTACATTAAAATAAGAAGCTCTCCATTCTTTTAAGTGAAATAAACTAAACTCAGAAAGTCATACATTTTCTCTCATGTATGGAATCGAGAGGAAAAGGGAAAAGAAAGGTAGTTGGTAGTGATCTCATGAAAAATTAAGGGAGACTCTGCTGTCGTGTATTTAAAAAAATAAAATCAATTAAAAAATAAAGATTGGTAGTTCTTTAAAAAATAAATAAATGAATGAATGAATAAAATGCTTCCTTTAAAAAAAGAAAAAAGAAAAATTAAGGGAGACTAATAGCTAAAAAGGACCAGTGGGGAGGACGGAGGAGAGAGAAGGAGGAAATTTTGGGGAACTATATTGACCAAATTATATTGTTGTATAGTATTCATGTACAAATATATAATAATGAATCCTATTATGATATATAGTTATAATATACCAAAAGATATGGAAAAAATAAAATAAAAATAAAAAAATAAAAATGTAATAAAACATGTAAAAACATTATCTATAACTGTAATGAAAAGGCAAATTAAGGGGCTGGGGTTGTGGCACAGTGGTAGAGCACTCGCCTAGCATGTGCAAGGCCCTGGGTTCGATCCTAGCACCACATAAATATAAATAAATAAAATAAAGGCATTGTGTCCACCAAAAAAAAAAAAAAGAAGAAAAAGAAAGAAAAGACAAATTAAAAGAAATAGCAGGACTCTCAACAATCCTTTAAAAAAAGGGAAGAGAGTAAGCATTCATTGGATAGGGCTGGTTTAGGCACTGGAAGTACTCCTAGAAACTTCTCAGGATCCAGCAATGCTCATAGGCTGGTTGTGTTTTGGAAAACAGTAGATGATCCTCAGGGAATGGAAATAAACTAGAGAGGATATCATGAATATCTTGTCAGGTCTCCCTCCCTGTAGCAGAGAGTGGAAAGACACTGCAAATTCTTCCTTCCATGACATCTTATGGCAATGAAGAGCTATTGCGGACTTCAAGGACATTTCTGCCAGGACTGATCTCCTTTGAACTCAGTCATGTCCAGAACTTCCTGGACAATTTAGGACAAAAAATTTAAAGAGGAGACCCTATACTTCTTAATAATATGGTGCATAAGTTTTCAAACAAAAAAAAAGGAAAAAGAAGAAATGTAACAGTGTTTTTGCCCTGCATTTTATGAAGTAATGCTAATCATATATCCTTCACTTGACATGCTACTGTATGTTCCAAACTATGTGTTAAGAAAAGATGATGCAAATAAAACTGCATAAAATTTTTATGAATTGAAACCATGCAACTGCAAAACAAACTGTATAGTAGTATAGTATGTGTTCTTGAAAAGTTATAAGTAAATTGAACTTCTATATTTGATACCATATTTTCATTGTACTGTCAGAAGGATTTAAAAGAATATTATATAATAGTGTTCTTAAATGTGAAAAATTTAAAACTTTTAGTCTTAATCCAAATTTTCAGCCTCTGATATTAATCATAGTTTGCTTAAGGCATAGTATTCTTGAAAATTTAACTATGTTAAATTTCACTATTTAGTGATAAATCATGTAAGTTTGAAAGCAGAAACTCTTTTAAAATAGTGGACAACATGATAGGAAATAAATGTCTATAGCTATTAAAATAATTTGTTGATAAGACTGTTGAATTTCTATTAGTTTTATTTTTTTACCTGCTACATGTATTAATCAAGACTCCTTTGTTTATAAGTGACATCGATCCAGATAAACTAAGATCAACAGGTTTATAAAAAAAGGAATTTATTGGCCAGTATGACTAAGGAATATAGAGGTAGTACTAGCTTTCAGGCTAGGGTAGATCCAGAGTCTCAAATGTTTTTATAGCTAGCTAGCTAGCTAGTTATCAATCATCTATCATTTCTCTACTTCCCTCTATATTAATCTCAGTTGCTCTTTGTACAAACATGTTTCTCCTTAAGGCTATGGAAGACAGCCAAGAGCTCACAGCATAAGTCTCTCCAATTAGCTCAATCTGCAATGTCTGGGGGGAATAATCTGGTCCAATTTGGATCACAAGTGCACGCCTGAAATGGAAGGATGGAAGCCACACAATCCTAGCAGGATCCTGGCCCAGCAAGGGGTGAAGAGCAGGAGTTTGGAGAAGTTTACCTAGTAAAGAGGCAGAAGAAGAAAGGAAGAAAAGGGTAGGGAGAGACAAAAGCTATAGCCACAAGCATCCCTTATGCTTCATAAAGAAACAATTTTATAGTGCTAGTGGACCTAAGTATAAGCATAGATAACTATATATCAAAAACCCTTAAGGCAAATTCTAGACAAATATACAGATGCATAAAGATCTATGGTATTAGATTTGAAGAAAGCCCTGTTTGTAAATGACAAAATAGGTTTTTCTTAAATTTAATATGGCTTTGTTAAACAAAATTTACTTTATTCATGAAATGATTTGGCATTTTTTATATAGAAATTTACTGAAAAGGGATAGGCAAAGTTCAAAACATTGTATATTTATTATAAGACAACACATAAAACATAAGACCCTATTTTTGTTTCAAAATGTATTTTCTTACCTGTTTACATAGATGTATGTTTATTTATAAAGAAAGAAAGTATTTTCTAACATATGCATTAAAATGTTAAGAGCTGGGAAGAGATGAAAGACATGTTTTTTTTCTTTTTGTCTATTTATATTTTCTTATGTTTCTATTAAATGATATATAAAACAAAACTAAAATTCTATGCAACTCAGTTTTATGCATTCAAACCTAGTTTCAAGTACTAATCCATTCCAAATGAGCATGGTCCTGGGAGGCAGTAACTTTCAAAATGGTAGCAACAGGTTGATTGCCACTAGTTAAACTAGTTAACATAGACTATGCGACTTGATTTTTAAAATGCTTTGTCCAGGAATCTCAATGGGCCACACCGACTTGCAGGAAATGTTTGGGTACAAAGCATTAGCAATGTTTCTCAACATGCAGATCTTGCGCCATCTATATTACATTCCCTTGAGGAGCTTGTTAAAATGCAGATTTCCTGATCTCATTATAGACATTCTGATTTAGAAATCTTGGAAGTAGGTTAAGGAACTGGCATTTTCAATAAGTTCCCAGGGGATTTTTCTGTACACTGAAGTGTGAGAACACTTGTTTCAGAAAGTGTAAAGTTGGATCAGTACAAGAGGGAAGTGATCAGGCTGCCAATAGAAACTGCTAGTGTCCCAGTGCCTTTATATTACAATCATCATTAATAACACAACTCTTTTGTCTTTGTCTATGGTCACTAATCATAAAATTATAAGCTTATCACCAAATATTTGAAAATGGAATAATTTTACTACATGTGGGGCTTGATACTCTTTTCCCAGTAAAACACCCTCTAACTTGTCAGGCATCAAATTCACATTATATAATCTATTCTAGGGTCATATCTGTGTTGCTGAAACAACAGATTTGAAAGTATAGATAGTTCTGAAAGAAATAGGAAAGGACAATAAAGAAGCAGGGAGAGAAGGGAAAGAAAATTTCATAAATATTTTGCTAGGTACCAACTAAGTACCAACTGCAAGCACTTTTTATTTTTAATTTTTTTTAGTTGTAGTTGGACACAATACCTTCACTTCATTCATTTGCTTTCTTATGTGGTGCTGAGGATAGAACTCAGTGCCTTGCATGTGCTAGGTGAGCTCTCTACCTCTGTGCCACAACCCCAGCCCTGGCAGGAACTTTTATAATCAGAAAATTCCATCAAGGTTACTCTCTAAATGCTTTAAAACATGATTTTAATATACCATGGTTCAATTCACAAATTACTTTTTAGGAAATCTACTTGAGGTGTTTTCTATTATTCTAAAATATTAGTAGAATAATTATTAAATTAAGAAATGAAAGTAAGGTGAATCCCCCATTCAACTCTTTACTTAGACAATGAGTGATTAGAAGTATGTAATGGAAAACAGTGAGTAATAAAGAAAATAATAGAAAAGTGTTAATGGAATAAAATGAGTCAAGCTGAATTCTGATAAATCTTTATTATAAAGATACTGAATAGTTTCTTATTGGGAAAAGCAAAAATCTTGACTGCCTGCTGTTAGTACTTTTAAAGTACTTGAAAATATGGAGAAAGAAACAGCAAAACAAATAAATTAACTTACTTATTCAGTTATTTCTTCGTTATTTTCTGTGGTGTCCTATTATTTAAAAGAAACCTGTAATACAGGAGAGCCATAGTTTACCTGATTTCAGTTCTATAGAATATAACTTAGTTTTGTTTTACATCAGCTTGAGGCATAATTTACATACAAACAAATTATCCTTATTAATTGTATTGTTCTATGAATTCTGACAAACATGTACAGACAAATATCATCATCACAATCAAGACATAGAATATTTCCATCACCCTAAAAATTCTCTAAGCCCTTTTCAGATATTTCCCCATTCTCAGCACCAGCCCTTGACAAACAATGGTCTGATTAATGTTATATTTATCAGAAGTTCATGCATTTTTATGGCTGGTCAGCTTTCCATACAGAGAATGTGTTTTGCTTGTATATGTTTATACCCAATATCTGGGTACCTCAGGCCCAGACCAAATGACACCTAAAAGTGACAATCACACAGAAACATCCAGAACAATGTTTTACTACATGTTTTGGCACAGTGGCCCTGTCAAGTTGAAACATAAAATTAACCTTCACAATGACCTAAACTGAATCTGATATCAGTAAGTTTTCTTTATTTCATCCAAGAATTTTTTTGTTGTTGAAAATTTTATGATAGGAATTATACTTTTCACGTTATTTTAGAAAAAGATGAGTCTTTGAGTCTAATAACAAGATCATGAGAATTGATCAAAATTAGCCATATGAATCCAGAGGCTGGATGTTATTTAACTTTCCAGCATCACAACCCTCTTGTGTTTGGGCAGTCTGCCATTGATGCATTTAGATGCGAGCCATTGTCTCATCTCCCACCAAAAAGATGAGGCACTTTCTCCCTGTGATTCTTGGCAGCTGGATATAACCTAAAAGCTGTTTATTGGATGCTCCTGTTCAGTACTTTTATCCTGAAGTAAATGACACAGAGAAGAAAATTTAGAATTTATCTTGACAATTGATGGCTGAAGCTCATTATAGGATCTGGAACTGAGGATGATGGTAGTAACAATGGTAGATGATGTCTACTGTAGAAATGACATCATAACCAGGTTTCTTACATGAAGACGTTCAACAATGGTTCTATTCATCTTACATCAGTTGATTCCTGTCAATTTCCCAGGCCTATTACTCTGGCTTTCCCACCAATTCTTTCCCACCAATTCCCTTCAAATGCATTCATTTTATGCTTATGATAACCAGAATTGGCCACCAAGAATACTTTCCAGGCAATAATCTTGCCTAGAAAGTTTTATGGGAAGGTATTTTGATACATTTCATAAAGTAATTATAGCATAAGTAGGGTCATTTTGATGTCAGAAAGTTTGGATTAATCCTGGGACATACTTACTTGTGTATACTCACATCAGTTATCCACAATCCAGACAAACAAGTTTCCCTACTATTATGGGCTGAATTATTCTCCCTCAAAACTCATATATTTAGCCTTAATATCCAATACTATAGAACATGATTGAATTTGGTGACAGGTACTTTAAATAGGAAGTTATATTAAAATGGCATTGGTAAGAGACAATAGACAACACAGAGAAATGATCATGTGAGGACACAGTGAGAAAGGGTCTATCTGCAAGCCTAAGAGAGACCTCAGAAGAAACTAACCCTATCAACACTTTAATCTTGGACTTTTAGCCAATAAATTTCTGTTATTTAAGTTTCTCAAACCATGGTATTTTGTTGTGGCAACACTAGAAAACTAATACACTTGCCTAATAGTTTTGTAAAAGGAGATATTTGTATGTGAACAAATACAAGTAAAAATAGAGGGGTAAGCTTTAAGTTAAAGATGACAGAGGATGACAGAATTACATCAGAGGAGTTAGGAAAATTCTATATAAATTTAAATATTATTTATGTCATATTTTTAAGCAACTAGGTGAAATTTATTAAGAAGAAATGAAAATGTGTTTGACTTAAGCTACTATTATGAATAAAAAGGCCTTTACACAGAATAAAAGCAAACTATAAAGCAACTAATAGGGGAGTAAACAAGACTCAATGTCCTGTCTTTTTTTAACGTTTTGTCTGGAAAAAAGTTTTCTAACTTACCAACAAATGTAAACACATTTGTTGTTTATTATTATTATTATATCAATTACATATACAACTAATGTCAAACTATTCCCACAAAGCAAGGTGGCCAATCCCAATGACCCCAGGTCATTATACCAAACATCCAGTGAAGAAGAATTGCTACCCAGCTCAAATCAGGCCAGAGTTCATTGTGAAAAGGTCAATGCCCTAGAAAATGTGAAAACTTGATTTCAGAAAACAAGAGTTAGTAGCATTAAAAAAAAAAAAAAAATGCAGTCTCTTTGGTTGTACAAACCCAGATGGAAGTTATTATTATCTTAAGGAGGATACAGTAATCTCTTGGCACACAGTAGTGAAAATTTTGGATAAGGAAAACAAGTTCAATTTAAAAAGAGAAAAAGAAGGCAATAGCAAAAGATCACTTAGCACAATCTAACCTCCACTACTGCGGAGTAATAGCTATCCTGAACTATTAGCATTTCCTGTCCATGTTCATATGAAAAAGATGAATCACCAACCATTTGTGATTGTGTTCAAGTCCTTTCAATTAATACTACAACATTTGCACATTAATATAAGAACAACAGATTACAGCATTTAAATTTGTTAACTACAAATTCAATAGTTTTCCAATTAAACCTTTCCAAAGTGTATGTGCAGTTTCCAAGGAATGTTCTCATTTTTCCCACCTATGGTCTGAAATAAGAATCTAGGATTCACACAAAATTGAATATCAATTATCTGTGGGGTCATGTTATAGAGGAAAATTTCTCCTTGCTAATAAGGCTTTGATGTTATATACTGTAATGAACTTTGAAGCATTTAAAATTTCATCCTTCTTGCAAGTTAATAAGTTAAACTGCTGTAGATTCATGGTTGCTGGCAGAAGTCACTAGTATCCTGGGTCAGAGACCAAGTACTTTATTACTTACAGCATAACAAACAGCGTAAGCATCTGTATATTTTCATCAGTTTCTTTTGTCCTCATATCCCATGGACTCAGATGATGCTTGCATGATTGGTGGGTTGCACTGTGAAAAAGAAACCTAGAACCAAGGACAAAAACTTGTAGAGCAAGCAGCAAACAAGTCAGTCTCCCTTACCCCAATAGTGAGTGGTTACACAATAGCGTGTGGCATGGGCACCTTGACCTACTTAGTTGTCTATGTGTTTAGCTAAAGATGCTGCTCAGTCTCAGGAGATAGATAAGGCTTGCAATCTGGCATTTGTAGCAAGAACGTGCAGGAATTCTCAAGGCCAAGATAGATATGACTCTTGTAACAATCCACTCCTAAATGTTCTTGGCAGAACTTAAATGTTCACTTGAATATGTGACTCCATTTAACCATTCTGATGAATCTAACAGAGGCTTTATTCCATCTGTCTTATATAGCATTTGGTTACTGCACCTCAAAAACATCTAAGCAGCAGGATAAGGCTAATCTGTAATGTTGACCTCAATGATGACCTTCAAACTTCTAAAATCCAATAAACCATCACATTGTACTTAAGAAAGCTGGAGGCTTCCTCTTTATGGCTCTTATTTATGCTTTCTATTTACAGCTGGATGTATTAGAGATCCTTAGGAATCTGCCTTCTAGTTCCATTTTATCAACTAAGATAAATTGGTCATTGAGTTAAGGCAGATCTGACTGTATTCTAAAGTTCAAGCGATGTCTCTGATCACTTAAGCTGTGCTAAACTCAGGGACAAATTCTTTTTTTTTTTTTAATGTGGTGCTAAGGTTCAAACACAGTACTTAAACATGCTAGGCAAGCACTCTACCACTGAGCCACAACCCTAGCCCAAATTCTTATCACCTTTTCTACCTAACTGACTCCCATCATTAGGACTAATTACCAAGTGAACATACATGAGTTAGATATTCCTTTGGACAGTTTCTCCAAGTAACTGAAGCGGCCCTCCATCTTAGTCAGTTTTTTCATTGCTTTGACTAAAGGATCTTACCAGAATAACTATAGAGGAAGAAGAGTTTATTTGAAGGAGGTTTTAGTCCATAGAAGTCTGGTTCCATTCCTCAGGGCTCAAGGTGAGGCTGAACATTATGGTAGAAGCAGGTGGCAGAGGAAAGCAGCTCACATCATGGTGACCAGGAGGCAGAGAGAGAGACTCCACTTTCCATATACAAATATGTGTGTGTGTGTGTGTGTGTGTGTGTGTGTGTGTGTATAGATAGATAGATTGATTTATAGATTTATATACATACCAAAGCCATACCCTAATTCCAAACTCCTCCAGCCATACCCTACCACTTCAGTTACCATTATCAAATGATTAACTCACCGATTGGGTTAAGACTCTCACAACCCAATTATTTCTCCTGACTCTTCTTGCATTGTTTCACATGTGGGCTTGTGGGAGACACATCACATCCAAACCATAACACCCTCTTTCAGAAGCTCTCCACAGTTGTGTAAGGGCTATGTGATCTACTCCAGCTGCCTTATACACTTGATAATCTCTTATGACCACACCAAAGGTTCAATCACTATGATATTGGAAGTAGAAAAACCAATGTGTCACTTCCACATATAGTCCTAAATGCAAATAGGGTATCCCTAGAAAGAAAATGCTGGTTAAGATTTGGGGGTCCCTAATTGGGTCAACAGGAGCAAGTCTGAGGGAACAAGGCTGACACTCTCTACATGGTGAGGAAAGTTAAAACAATCAGGACAGCCTCTAAAGCTATTTCCTGGTTTTTGCCTCAACCCCCTCCCTAATTTCTCATTAACAGGCAATACTGTAGAGAAGGACCATTTATTTTCTAACTGACTATACAATCTGGTCAATGTGTTTACTACTAGTTCATACAGCCCTTCCTCAAATTCTGTTAGTTGGCTAACAAAGCCTTCATCTTTCCTTTTCCAAATAGCCATGTCTCTGCCTATCTCCATAACCAAAAACTTCCAAGAAACAAAGAGTTTGAAAGTAGTTCCAACCACAATGTCATCATTCAAGTATCAGACACAGATATCATGATTTATTACTCAGAGCAATAGCAGTGACTAGTAGTATCAGTTAATATTTTTTTCTACCACTGCCCTATATACTCTCATTACTAAATGAAGAGGGCCACATAATACATATATTTAGGTTGGATTCTATTATAGGAAAGGACCCCTAAATTTAGAGAACCTGACTTTTCAGTAATGAATACTAAGCATACCTGCTCTTTTTTCCAAGGAAAGTCATTTTCTCTAGCTTCTAAAGTTGTTCAATGTACAGTCATCTATGAAAAAAAAAGGTTTAGAACAAAAGGCAGTCAGTACTTTCAACTTCAAGATATTCAGAAATCTATGAAGAATTATCTTCCAACAAATACCTATAGTTTATTAGTAGAAATGGCCAGAAACCCCTGATATTTATGAATTAACATCTACTTTATAGTTCACATGAATTAGGATTGTTTTCAGCTGCATATAAAAACCTATACAGTGGTTTAACTGAATTTTTGTTTGTTTGTTTCTTCTTCTTTTTTCTCTCATATAACCAGAAGTCCAGAGATAAGAGATCCAGGTATGTTACAACTAAAAATGAGAAATGAGGTCATCAAGGACCTAGGTCTCTTTCATCATTTTCCACTGTCCTCATCCTTACTTTATATCTCATGGCCACAACATACGTACTCTAATTCCATCTGTATAGTTCTGGTAGTAAGTAGAGAGGAGTGATGATCAGATTTGAAAGGAGTTAAAAAATATTGAGATAGGAAAGAAGAATTAAAATACATACATAAGATGTTAAGGAGACACAAGTTGATATTTTCAACAGTGTGGGTGTAGAAATTTAGTAGAAAATTTGGGAAAATAGGTAGGAAGATCAAAGTGAGAATGTGTATTGAAGGTCACAGGACATTCCTGTTAGCTGATTGATTAATGCTTTGCCTGTGACCTAACAGGAATGTCTTGAAAGGTGTAATGTAACTGAGTAAGTTAGCAAATAAGCTATGGTTCAAAATACATTTTTAATATCATAAGTAATTTGGAATCTTACAAAAAAGCATAGTTCAGGGCTGGGGTTGTGGCTCAGCGGTAGTGCGCTCGCCTCGCACGTGTGAAACCCTGGGTTCAATCCTCAGCACCACAAAAAAAAAAGCATAATTCAAATAACACTATAAACTATAACCTTTCATTGTTGTAGTGTTCTTAATCAGATTTTTGAGTTATAATTTGTAGTACTGCATAAAAATAGGCACCATGCTTACATGGAAGTCAGAATTCAACTTGAGTCCAGTTTCGTTTGTTGTTACTATAGTGTGTCACATACTTTTCTACCTTTTCCTTAAAATTGCTAAATAGAATTTCATACCAAGAATATAAATTTTCTTAGAGCAGAAATAAACTTAATGAATAATTATTTTTTACCAGCTAAAAATTAAACTTCTGTTGTGGTTGTCAGCAGGGTGTAATTTTTAGCATAAGATGAAGCAATCAGTTTCTAAAGAGCACTGTTTCTAAATAGTCTTATTAATATACCATTTTATTGAATAATTTCAAAGTAAACAGCTTCAAAATTAAAAATAACACATTACTATGAACAGATTAGGAATGATAGAAAATATTTTAAGGAAAGGACAATCTTCAACTATGTATCCTAAGAATTATCTCTGCTTTCAGCCTGTTTTCTTTTGCATATGGTCTAAAAATCATTATTTAAAAAGGGCTGATAGAGATGAGTTTAAATATGGTAAATGATGTTTGCAGTTTGTGGGTGGATTTTAATAGCTGAATCTACTTTTAATACGGATAATCTAAGGTCCATGATAGATGGTTAGGAACATAAATCTTATGGCCAACTCTCCACACTTCTTCTCCAGTCCCAATTTCTAAGGTTAAAATAATGTACTTCTACACATCTAAAATGCTTAAATAATAAATAATATAGCAAGTTCCTCAACCAACCAAAAGATTTGTTGTTAGGTGCTATGATGCAAACAATAATAATAGCTATTATTACTTATTATTAAAAGCAATCAAAACCATTTCTTATATTTATATACTTGTTTAAAAAACACTCTGTAATAATTTTAATGAGCTTCCTAATATTCATGTGAGAAATTACTCTCCATTTTACAGATAAAGCAATTCAGAAACAAAGTGTGACTTGCTGGAAGTTACAGGCACTAAGAAACAATTATATATGACAGACTTAGCTCCTGCTTTTATGAAATACTGTTCTGGTTGGTCATTCTTAGTCAAGTTGTGGACAACTGTATAATTCTAAGTGCTGAGCTGGTAAAGCATAATGCTTCCATGGAAGGATACAGAGAACAGCCTCACTGGGAAGAAAGAAGGGAGGTCTCCTGAAGGAAATAAGTTTTCTTCAGACTTTACTTTGTCAGCTCAGAGGAAAAAAAAATAATGAGTTTTTACTAAATTAACTTATTCTATTCTTTGAATCTTCCAGGTTGACTTTGGAATTGGTAAGAAAAAAACTTAGGAAGTCAATACCATGTAATTAACTTTTACCTCTAAGCCAGTGTTTCTTTCTGTGGTCCCTGTACCAAATGCAACAGTCACCTGGGGTCTCATTAAAGCTACAAACTTTGGGGAAGGAGAATGCAGCAAGAGCCACCTTGGACTGACTTATTCTAAATCTCTTGGGTTAAAGTCTATAAAAATTGCAGCCTTAAGTATGAACATTTGGGGATTCAGAAATCGAAGAAAAAAATATATTTTTTTTCCCTGCTAGTGGCTCCAAATGGTTCTTGCTTCAAAAAGGCCTCTTTTGCAGGGTGAGGGGATGGAGAGGGAGAATGTGCAGGTAGGAAGAACTGTTAAATGACAGAATAAGAGTGCAGCATCTCAGATTGTCAGCCTCCACTTCTCACCTTGAAGTGACTGGCTTAGGGGTGGAGCTTGATAAATGACTTACTGAACACCAGGACACAGGTATTTGTAACTTCCAGGAGTTTTCAAAGTTCTTTCTCTTAGATTTCTATATTCCAGCGTCAATTTAGCAGCAGAAGCAGTTACGGGGAGTAGCTAAGGTGTGTGGAGTTGGAAGAATGAGTTCAAACTTCCCAGACCACTATTTAGCATTTAAAAGGACCAAGTTCTTCCAAGGGTCCCCACCTACAAAGAAGGAATAGAAATAGCACATTACAGCATTGTTGGGTGCCTTAAATATTTATTTATTATAAATGGATATATAAATGAAACATTATAAATGCAAATGCTTAGAACCAAGCCTAATGCAAGAGTTCCATAAATGCTTATTCAAACCCAGGCAGTTCACTATTCCCTTAATATCTGTAATAAGTCAGCAATTATCAGCAAAAAAGAAAAAATAAATGAGAAAAGTAGGCAACCAGGTACTGTGGCCATGGGCTGCACCCCCACCGGAGAAGGGGGACGGTTCCGAAGCCCGAAAGCAGCTTGAGAATGGTTTCCCCCTGCCCGGCTGGCGGCACGTGGCTGGTTCCGGCGGGAGCTTCGCGACAGTGGGGGAGGGGAGCAGCGTGGGACGACACGGAGGGGGTCTAGACGGCCAAGGCTACAGTTGAGGAGACACCGACTGCGCAAGCTCAGCATAGGCGCATCCACTGTGCAAAGATCCGAGGGGGGAACGTCAACCCCGCTCCACGCTCCCTTTATCTATCAACGGAGCGAAAGCTTACCACTTTTCTCGTAAAAAGACAGTGTACCGTGCCGCCCTCCCCAGGTTGTTCATTGTTCAAAGAACTTTTGTCCCAGATCCGAAGCGGCCTCTTTCTCCAGCCATACTCCATCCTCCCCCGTCGAAGCCACAGTGGACGCATCCCGCCTCCCCTCGGCCTCCAGAGGTGGTTTGGCGGCCCCCTCCCCCTCCCCAGTGTCGCGAGTTGGCGCTGCTGCCACCCCCCTCTCCGCTCTCTCGGCCCCTAGGCCGGGCGGTACCGAACCCTCCCGGCGCCCCTCCTCTCCTCCCTCCGACCTGCCCTTCCCCGCGGGATTGCCACCCCCGCCCGCCCCCCAGCCCTTTTCTCCCCGCCGAGCGGCGGCAACAGCAGCAGCAGGAGGAGGAGCCGGAGCCCAGAGGCTGCGGTGGCCCGGGAGCCCATGGCGTACAGTCAAGGAGGCGGCAAGAAGAAAGTCTGCTACTACTACGACGGTGAGAGTCCGGGCGAGCGGCAGGGTGGGCGGGCAGGGCAGAGGCGACTGGCCTGGAGCCGCGCGGGACCCCGCGGCTGCCGTCGCGAGTGGGTGCCGGTGCTGAGGGGTGGGAAGGAGGAGGGACCGACGCTTGGCCGCATCTTAACCCGTTCCCCACCCGACTTGGTCAGTGGGAGATCCCCCTCCCGGAGCCGCTGCTGGGATCCTGCGGGCGGGAATAGGGGCGCCTGGCCTGCCGCCGCCTTTCCCTGCGGCGGTGTTGTAAGCCGGCCCGCAGCGGCCGACCGCGGGGTTGGCGTCGGCCTACCAGGGCTTCGTGGTCGCGGGGAGAAGACGGCCTGCCCTCGCACCTCTCCGGCCGCCTCCAGCGCAGGGCAGGTTTGGGAGTCCTCTTCGGCCTCCTGTACCCGATCCTTATCCATAGACTCAAAATTTCAGCCCCAGCCGCGACTACACAAAGCCCGGTGGCCGGGAGAGCTCCGCCCCTTGGTACCTCTCCCCTCCCCCTAACCCCCTAGCTCCCCGGCTCCGAGCACTTCCCCAGCTTTCTGTCTGCCCAGCATCGTCTTTCACCCTTCCAGCCTCACCCTGGTCACCGCCACCGGTCGGTGCTGGAGAGGAGTTACTGAGGGTGGGGGGCCCAACTCCGGCGAGTGGCGCCCTCACACCCGTGTTTTCCATCCCTACCCTTTGTTCTCCTCGTTCTTTGAGCGCCACTTTCTCAGGATTCAAATGAAAGGGCTGCACTTCCTCGGTAACAATTAGGTTTTCGAGTTTGAGGTAGGTAGTCCCCAAGTGAAGTAAGAGACAGTGGTAGGGAAACCTGGAGCGGTTTCTGCTAGTGTGGTAGATCTGACTCGAAGGGTCCTGGCTTGCCTCTATGGGAGGTGGTTACCACCCACTTCTTTGTTCGATCAGGAAATATATACCCTGCTCTGTAGGTTTGGGAGAGCTTAGGCAAGGTGGTGGAAATCCTGGTGTAGGAAAACTTTTGAGAAGTAGTGTGCAGAACTAAATAGTCTAATCAGGTAAGCTTGAACTCAAAATACAGTGAATTATAGCAGTCAGATAATTTTAATTTTGAGGGTTCTCAGTTGGAGTGTGAGCACTGAAATTTAAATTTCTGAAATTAAATTTGTGAAACCTGTTTCCTATATCAGCTTTAGTTATATACTAAGTGGAGTAGTAATCTGTTTCACAAATTTTATAGGACTAATAGATTACCCTTGAAAGGTGGAGTAAGGAAACTCAACAAAGAAGCTAGCTTGCCTTAATGACCTGATAATCCTGTCTGATTTTACAAAGCAATACAAATTTTGGAGGTCTTTCTGTCATTTGGTGTATTGGGATCACACATAAAAGAGAAATGGGTAGACCCTAGAGGATTAGGCCTAACTTTAACTTAAAAATGGTCATACCATCTCTTCGTTTGGCAATGATAATCTTATGCCTATTTTCAAGCCACTGTGTCACTTATTGGAAAAACTAAAATCTTACAACCCTGTTGTAGAAAATATTTTTTGAAAAGGCCATATATGTGTGTTAAATTGATTTGAAATCATACCAATGTAGAGGTCAGTGTAGAGGTGTAGAAATGGGAGACCATGTCAGTTTTTAACATGCATTTCATTGCATGTTTTGGATTAATGGCAAACCTTTGCCTGCAGTCCCCTGATCAAATTGGAAAGGAAATAACCTATATGTAACTTAAGTTTTTAAATTTACATTGTTTCTAAGGTTTAGAGATTTGTTTTTATTAAAGCTTGGTGTAAAGAAAAGAGGTTTAACAAAATGGGGAAATTAGTACTCAGGCTTTTTTTTTTTTTGAATGCCAGTTACTGTTGGCAGTGATAGGCTCTGATGGGGTAAATTGCTTGTAACTTGTTATGAAGTTTGAATTGCAGAACTAGGAGGTATACCTGAGTAGCAGTTTTCTCTGTAGCTATTTCTTCCTGCTCCCATGTGTGGTGAGCCTTTATTGAGGGAGAGTGAACAGGCACTGGTTCCAGGAATAGGATGCAGGCCAATGAACAGAGTGCAGATACTTTAAATGTTTTGTGATCATAGTTGAATCAGTATGTTAGCCCCATCAACGACTTTCCCTGATGGTCAGTAGCCAGATGTATCACTAACAATTTGGAAATCTCTGGTGGGTTATCTATTTCCTATCTTTGGTACTTCTTTGACTTATTTTTTTTAATTGGCTTTTTAGTTGTTTACACTTGGAATGTTGAGGTTTGAGGGGAGCTAACAATTATTATTATTCAATTGAATAGGTGTAATCGTGCTAATTAATGTGTGATAGCATACTATGTTCACTACCCAAAAACCCTGCTTTCTTGGATTATAAAAGTAGCCATAATTTTTTTTTTTAATTTTGAAAAAGATGCAAGAGGTTTTTATATCAAAGTATTATACTTTCAGGTAAAGATGATTGGACTGAGAATAGGTAGTATCAGTAGTAATAGGGTCTGAATAATCTTGTATCCCAGATTAATTGGTTTTAACTTGTTGATAAAGGAAGAAGAAGAAAGGAGTGATGTAGTAAGTTCTGTAACTATAGGTTATGTATAGAATGTGGGAATAGAACTATTGGCTTTCTGGGGCTGGTAAGTACACTCTGAGCCTCTTGGCAACTTGGAGAATTAAGACTTTGTGCTTTTCAATAAAAGGGACTTATAAAAGTAGATGTATTCTCTCCATGATTTATAGTCTTCAGTATTGTACTCTTTAAATCACTGAAATGCTGGTCCCAAGTGAACCTTCAGGTATTTGTGGATGATAGATCTTTGAACAAAAGTAAAGAGTTCATACTCTGGATATTGACTCATGCCTTCAGAGTTTCCAAGGGCACATTTCTAAACTTTAGTCATCTTTTACACTATATTGATAATTTGCAAAATGACATGTCACTAATTAGATAGTCACTAAAATCCCTTCTGACCTTAAAATGATGTGATTTTCATCTATTTAAATGTAATTGGCAAATGAAACTATGCTGGGTTCTAATTGTAATGTATTTTTAATACTTTAGGAATGTTAACTGTATTTTGTTTTGAATTAAGCTTAAGGCCTATCACATTTAGTGTTTTATGTTGTATGCAGTGTAGTAGGATTGATACTTATATAATTTATATAATTAAGCACAAATTGCTTTGTGCTTTTATTTTTTTCCTCTTATGGGGGTGCATAATCAAAATGTTTGGAAACAGATGATTCAGAGAAAAGCACTCAACACTATACAAAGATAGACTATAACAATTACAAAGATCATACCTCCCAGTGTACTCCTGATTTACTCTAGCAGAGGACTTCTACTAGGCAGCCAGCTGTTGCCAGGGATTTTCTGACATTTTTACTTAAAACCCCTGCCAGTGTTTTACTAGATTGCCTTTAATATAGCTGCATAGGGTCTTAGCTGTGCTACAAATCTTTATTTTCTATAAAATGGATAATTGTTTCTTGAGGGCAAAAATGCTGAATGGACTATAGTAGTAGGTCATAAATTCTATTAATTGCACAGTTATTAAATATAGTTAGAACTTTTTGAGATTTTCTAGGCTTGAATCTTCTTTCCCCAAATTCCTTTCTTCCTCACTTCCTTCAGTTTTCACTTCATCAGCAAATTATTACTTTTTTTCTTCCTGTTGCTTCTATGGCTTTAATTTTGTGTTTCCCCATTGTAATATAAGCTTTAAATTCTTATATCCATTGTGAGTTATGGATAGGTATTTTGTCGGTTTTATAGATGAAAATAGTAGTATTCCATCAGTCTACCACTTTATATTTCTACATTGACTCTAATTACAATGTCCAAAAGATTAGCACCTGGAATCTGAAGACTTTTTCTTTTTGCAGTTTCTTCTGCAACAATAACAAAAATGAGTAATTATGTCTTTTTCTTAATAAAAACTTTTGATGGTGATAAATCCTTAATAGTTGGTGGGGAAATGATTATATGTTAAGAGGAAGATAAAAGTCTACATCTTAGTAATAAAGGAGACCTTTGATAGAGTAATTGTTCAGACCGGGAAAGACCTAAAGGAAGACAGTGGGCCAGAGTTTCTCCTTCGATTAGAGCTTGGCATATCAAGGAGAAAACAGGCAAGAAGTCATGGGGAATTATGGGGTGCAGGGCTAGGCAGTAAATGGCCAGAGAAGACTTTGTGGTAAGAGATTTTTTGACTTTTATTCAAGGAGTGAGTGGGAGCTCTTGAAGTTTTTTAAGTAGAGAGCATACCCCTAATGGGTAGATGGTAGGCTAGAAGCAAGAATTGAATACATGTTGGTCCACATAAAATATAGTGATATCTGAGAGTTTGGACAGTAAAACTAATAGAGCTTATTGATGGATTGGAAATAGGGCTGGAGCTAGGGAAATGGTGGTAAAGAGTAAAGGATAGCTCCTAAATTTCTGGATAGAGCAGTTAGGTGGGTCTTGGTACCACTAATTGAGATATTGGGAAGACTAATCCAGGGCTTTATTTTGAACATCTTATGTTTTGAGATCTGTATTTAT